GTTGCAGTGAGCCAAGATTGTGCTAATCTCAAACTCCTGGCCTCAAGCGATCCTGTCACTTCAGCCTTTCAAAGTGCTAGGATTATAAGCATGAACCACCACACCTGGCCTAATAAGTTTAAACAAATTTATCTAATCTTAATCAGGTTTGACCATACAAAATAAGATTTTTATAAACCTTTATAGCCTCTTACAATTAAATAAAGATTTCCCAACTTTTTATGTCAACTTTTATTATTTTTAATTTCAAACAACTTTTTAAACTTCTAAAAGAAATAAAATTACTTTTTCTTTAACATAAACTATATTTCTATATCTGCATAAGCTCACACACAAATTAAATATATATTTAAAACATCATAGAGGCAACAGTTTTATAATCTTAAAACATCTAGTAGAGCTGGGCGTGATGGCTCACACCTGTAATCCCAGCACTTTGGGAGGCTGAGGCAGGCAGATCACAAGGTCAGGAGTTCAAGACCAGCCTGGTCAAGAGACCAGCCTGGCCACTATGGTGAAACCCCATCTCTACTAAAAATACAAAAATTAGCCAGGCACAGTGGTGGGCACCTGTAGTCCCAGCTACTTGGGTGGCTGAGGCAGGAAAATTGCTTGAACCTGGAAGGTGGAGCAGTGAGCCAAGATTGTGCCATTGTACTACAGCCTGGGTGACTGAGCAAGACTCTGTCTCAAAAAACAAACAAACAACAACAACAAAAATCTAGTAGAGACAGCATTGACTTATCAATAGACTCCCCCAAAAATGTTTAAATTAAATTTTGGAGATGTTTTTATTTTACCTTATTAGTAATTTTTATTTTATTTATTTTTTTCCAGTTTTCCCAACACCATTTATTAAACAGGGAATCCTTTCCCCATTGCTTGTTTTTGTCAGGTTTGTCAAAGTTCGGATGGTTGTAGATATGTTGCGTTGCTTCCGAGGCCTCTGTTCTGTTCCATTGGTTTATATCTCTGTTTTGGTACCAGTACCATGCTATTTTGATTACTGTAGTCCTGTAGTATAGTTTGAAATCCGGTAGTGTGATGCCTCCCACTTTGTTCTTTTTGCTTAGAATTTACTTGGCTATGTGGGCTCCCTTTTGGTTTCATATGAAGTTTAAGATGTTTTTTTCCAGTTCTGTGAAGGTCATTGGTAGCTTGATGGGGATAGCATTGAATCTGTAAATTACTTTGGGCAGTATGGCTATTTTCACGATATTGATTCTTCCTAACTATGAACATGGAATGTTTCTCCATCTGTGTCCTCTCTTATTTTGTTGAGCAGTGGTTTGTAGTTCTCCTTGAAGAGGTCCTTTACGTTCCTTGTTAGTTGCATTCCTAGGTATTTTATTCTCTTTGTAGCAATTGTGAATGGTAGTTCATTCTTGATTTGGCTCTCTTTAAGTCCGTTATTGGTGTATAGGAATGCTTGTGATTTTTGCACATTGATTTTATATCCTGAGACTTTGCTGAAGTTGCTTATCAGTTTCAGGAGATTTTGGGCTGAGTCAATGGGGTCTTCTAGATATACTATCATGTCGTCTGCAAATAGAGACAATTTGACTTCCTCCTTTGCTATTTGAATACCCTTTATTTCTTTTTCTTGCCTGATTGCTCTGGCTAGAACTTCCAGTACTATATTGAGTAATTTTTAAATTAGCCATATTTGCTACAGATTATTGTTGTTGTTGTTTTTGTTTGGTTTTTTTTGAGACAGAGTTTCATTCTTGTTGACCAGGCTGGAGTGCAATATCATGATCTCGGCTCACTGCAACCTCCACCTCATGGATTCAAGTGATTCTCCTGTTTCAGCCTCCCATGTAGCTGGGATTACAGGCATGTGCTGCCACACCCAGCTAATTTTGTATTTTTAGTAGAGACAGGGTCATGTTGGTCAGGCTGGTCTTGAACGCCTGACCTCAGGTGATTCACCTGCCTTGGCCTCCCAAAGTGTTGGGATTACAGGCGTGAGCCACTGCACCCAGCCTACTAAAGATTATTAAAGTCTTGTTAACTTGAATGGCATTTGGACTTATTTACTTAATTTATAATGATTTATTTGTAAGCCAATTTGCTATTATACAAACAGTATACAAACAGATATATACATGTACACAGATATACAGATAGACACGAATAAAATCTTTATAGCTTTAATTTTAAAATTTTAGCCATGAGACAGGTGTAGTTCACCAGTTTAGAAAAAAGTTGGATTCAAACTGTGCTTTTGTAAACAGAAAAGGTTAAAATTTATCTGTCTTGCTGAAGATGTCACTGAGTTTTAGAGAAAACGGGTTAGCAAACTTACATCTCAAAATACAGACAGAATTTAAGCTTTTTAGGAAGGAGTTTGGGTGTGTAAGTCAAAAGATTAAAAATGGACATCTAGGTAACACAAAATCACAGGGATTTACCTTAGGATTTTATAAGGAGACCAATTTTATTTAGATAGGTGGCTTTTAATTTTATACTTATTTTTTAACTGGATCATTGTGCTCAGGATGGAGTCCATTAATGAACAATACTAGCAAAGTATTTGTAGTTTGTAAGTCCTAATAATTTAAATAAGTGAAAAACAGGCACAGTTGGAAAGACAAGTATGTAGATTTTTAAGAATTACAAATTTACTTTTACACTGAATCCCAGATCCTCCCAAAGAAGGAAATGCCACAGAACCTGGCTGTGCAATGCTTTTACAGTGTACTTGGTTGCAATGACATTTTTCTAAGTGTTTAAGTCAAATCCTCTTAATCTTAATATGCAAAGAAGGGAATAGCCCCCTATAGTAATACTCATTCGCTTTAACTGCTGCCAGTCACCCCTAAGACTCTTTCCAGTGTCCTGCCAGCCATCTCCCACACAAAGGTCAAGTTCTCTCTCGAAGGGTAATTTCCAGTACCCCACAAGAGTGAAAGAAGTAGTTCATGTAATATTTTTTTAAAAAGACAGGGTGTGGTGGCTCACACCTTCTATCCCAGCACTTTGGGAGGCCGAGGCAGGTGGATCACTTGAGCCTGGGAAGCTGAGGTTGCAATGAGCTGAGATCGCACCACTGCACTCCAGTGTGGCGACAGAGTGAGACCTCGTTCCAAAGGAAAAAAAAAAAAAACCTGAGAGAAATCTGTTTATGACCCTTGAAACTCCATAAGGAAAACAGAGGACCACCCCCTCCCCCCGCAACAAGTGGGAAGTGGTTCCTTTCTCTCTGTTCCTTAAGGTGTCTGAGTCATCAGAGGCCCCCTCTAGAGTCTTTTATTGATACTGAAGACAGCAAAGAGAAAGAAAGAAAAGAGAGAAGTAAGTGGAAGGGAAAAGAGAGACCAAGCACATACTTTTTTTTTAAAGAGGGCTTCTGTCAACTGCAAAGAAAGTACCAAAAACAGGATCCAAAAAGAGAAAAAGCAGAAAGTCCTTTCATGTACATCTCTCTCTCTCTCCGTGTGTGTGTGTGTGTGTGTATCTATACATATATTCGTACTCTCACACACATATATGTGGCTTGAATATCAGCTTTTAATTAAGCTGGGTTCTAATCATAGAGGTTTTTTTTTTCTTTTCTTTTTTTTTTGAGACTGAGTCTCACTCTGTTGCCAGGCTGGAGTGCAATGGCGCAATCTTGGCTCACTGCAACCTCTGACTCCCTGGTTCAAGCGATTCTCCTGCCTCAGGCTCCCAAGTAGCTGGGATTACAGGCACACACCACCACTCCCAGCTAATTTTTGTGTTTTTAGTAGAGACAGAGTTTCACCATGTTGGCCAGGCTGGTCCCGATCTACTGACCTCGTTATCTGCCCACTTCATACTCCCAAAGTGCTGGGATTACAGGCATGAGCCACCGTGCCTAGCCTCATAGAGCTCTTTAAAAAAAAAAAAAAACTTTTAAATCCCATTATTAGATTTCAACTGGGAAAAATAACTAATATTTCTGGCTTTTGTATCGTTTTTTTCCAAAGGTATCTTCCCCAATGCCTCACAAGATCCAGAACTACCCAAAAGACAGCTCAAAGAAAGAAAAGTTTTGCTAGCTACAAATAGGATATAAACCACATTTCTGTATTCTCTAGGGTCTCAGCTTCACAGCTGATTATTTATACCCTAAGGCCCAAAAGCCTCTTGTGCCTCCTATAGACAGAAGTTGACAAGAAATCGTAAGTTGTCCATGGAAGGAACAGGGATCATTAACAAATGGGTTCCTCAAAAAGTCAAAATTCACACAAATTTCAAACCAAAAGAGATTGATTCCTTGACTAGGAATTGAACCTAGGCTGTGGCAGTCAATGTGTGAAATTTTAACTGCTAGACTACAAGGTGGAGCAGCACCCACATTGTTAATCCCACAGGAGATTGCAGGCAGGCTGTCTGAGTGTACAAAGGAGTCTAGCTTTGTTTTAGGTCAGATTTGTGCTCTTTAATTTTCTCAAGAGAATTTCTTTTCTTTTGTTTTCTTTTTGAGACTGAGTCTTGCTCTGTTGCCTAGGCTGGAGTGCAGGGGCGCTATCTCGGCTCGATACAACCTCCACCTCCCGGGTTCTAGAGATTCTCCCGCCTCAGCCTCCCGAGTAGCTGGGATTACAGGCACTCACCATTAACTCCTGGATAATTTTTGTATTTTTAATAGAGACGGGGTTTCACCAGGTTGGCCGGGCTGGTCTCCATCTCCTGACCTCAAGTGATCCACTGGCCTCAGCCTCCCAAAGTGCTGGGATTAGTGAGCCACCGCACCCGTGAATTTCTTAGAGAATTTCTAAGCCTAGCCATAATACTACTAAAAGTCTCTTTTCAAAAAAAAATAATCTTCCCTCACATACAAATAAAGTAATTGTTTAGAATATGAGATCTCTAAAAGTCCTTTTTTTAAAATTTAGGAGTCTTTCTAATTTAAAGGATTCAATTTTTTGGCCACTGATTAATTTCTTTTTCTTTTTCTTTTCCTTTCTTTCTTTCTTCTTCTTCTTCTTCTTCTTTTTTTTTTTTTTTTTTTTTTTTTTTTTGAGATACAGTCTCACTCTGTTGACCAGGCTGGAATGCAGTGGCACAATCTTGGCTGACTACAACCTCTGCCTCTTAGGTACCAGCGATTCTCATGCCTCAGCCCCCAAAGTAACTGAGATTACAAGCGTGCACCACCACACCCAGGTAATTTGTGTATTTTTAGTAGAGACAGGGCTTCACTATGTTGGCCAAGCTGGTCTCAAACTCCTGACTTCAAGTGATCTGCCCATCTCAGCCTCTCAAAGTGCTGGTATTACGGGCATGAGCCACCATGTCCAACCTGATTAATTTTTAATGGTGTATTCATTCAAATAGTGACTCAGTCCTATAGCCTTTTCATGGAAAGTGAAGAAACAAGTCCAAAGATCCCCGACAAAAAATTCACTCCCAGGAGTAGGCTAAGATAGACAAACCCTCCCAAAAGCTTGACATATTTGGAAGATCAAGTCTTGAGTTCCCAGCCATTTTCAGCCTGGTTACCTGATGTCCTCTGAAAGTCACATTCCCTGGTTGGTGGAGACCAAGAGAGAATGCTCGCTCACAAGTCAAACTCTCAAGGATATAAAACAAGGCAAGCAGAAATCTCACCTTGTACCTTTCTTTATAAAAGAACGACACAGAAAGACAAACACAAAGGGGGAGAAAAAACTATTTCTGGGAGGGAAGGGATCAAACAATATGAATATTCATAACAAAAGAACAAAAAATATACCAGACTCACTACACCTAAGACTAGTCACACAAATCCTTTTTTCCTATTCATCAAAATTTTGCAGAGAAAAAAGAGACAGTGATTTTTACCATCCACTCAACCAAGATTTCACAGAGAGGCTTGGAGCCTGACTGGCAAGAAATTCTTGCCCTTTTTGCTAGCTTGTCAAGTCCTGGGTTCCCTTCACTGTGGCTTCGGGAAGAACAGATCCGCTTTGGTGATCCCGTTCACAGCACCAAACCGTAGGCACCAAAGTAGAACTTTTCCTTTGCTGTTGAAGTTTCACTGAAAAATCAACTCACAAAAGGCAGATTAATTGGAGAAAAGGCATATACATTTTATTAACATGTACATAGGGAGAACCACACACAAAATGATTATCCATTCCCCAATGGGGTTTAGAATCTTATATATCATCTAGAGGTTATAGAAGGAATGGGAGCTTGGATCCTGGCAAAACAGGTTATGGTATCAGCGACATAAGAAAATATCTAAAGACAATGTAATTATGTTTCTCCTCATACTTTTTATGCTTGAAACATTTATCCCTATGATGTTTGCCAAATGGCATCTATATCCATCATTTGTTTTACATTTAATTAGAATTCTAAGGTAGGAAAGGTATTCCTTTCTCCTCTATTTATCTGTTTATTTATTCGATTATTTATTTATATCAGCACAGACTAATAGATTATTGTTTTATTCTATCTGCTTAAAATACAGTACTAAACTGAGCCATATTTGGTCATCAAGGGCCCCTAAAGTTTGTTCTTATGTCTTTTTTGATAGATACTTTTTTTTTTTAGCCAGCGTCTTACTGTTGCCCTGGCTGGAGTTCAGTGGTGCAAACATGGCACACTGAAGCCTCAAACTCCTGGAGTCAAGCAATCCTCCTGCCTCAGCCTCCCAAGTAGCTGGGAACTCAGGTGCATGCTACCACACCTGGCTAATTTTTTTATTTTTATTTTTGTAGAGATGGGGTCTCACTTTGTTTCCCAGCTTGTCTTGAATTCCTGGGCTCAAGCAATCCTCCTGCCTTGGCCTTCCAAAGTGCTGGGATCACAGGAAGGAGCAACTGCACCTAGTCCCTCATCATTTTTTTTTTTTAAGGAGCTTTCTACTTTCTGGCACCATAAGATATTCCAGCTGCTTTCTGTATTTTTCCCTGCCTCAGCCTTGGAAAAAGCCATTTTTCCAAAGAGCCCTGATTGCTTCTATAGGAAAATGGTATTTATAAATTAAGATTTGGGAGCCAGGTGCAGTGCCATATGCCTGTAGTCTCAGCTACTTGAGAGGTTGAAATAGAGGGATTGCTTGAGCCTAGGAGCTCAAGGTCAACCTGGGACACATAGTAAGATGTCATCTCTAAAAAATAAAATAATGGGAGGGGACTCAAGATGGCGCTGTGAGAACAACCCAGGATTGGAGCCCGCGTTGAATTCGCAAACGGTGAGTCAGTGCTGCATTTCCAGACTGATCTTTGTTGCCCACAGAACGGGGAAACTCCCAAGTATAAAAAGACACGGGACGCCAGGCAGTAGGTCTGCCTGGCGAAGCCGGCAGCCGGGGCGGCGGCCGGCCCTACCCAGCAATCCCCACAGGGCGCGCTTGTCCGGGTGCCTTGTTGAACCGGCAACCTGAGACTTGAGAGGGCTGGACTTGAGACTGAACGAGACTTGCACAGTAGCCCAGCCCAGGGGATTGCAGGGACAGATCGGTTGGGATACCCAGTGGGACGAACAAAACCGCGATTTCAAACTATCCCGGGCAGACGGTCCGAGACGCTCTGTGGTGGAGGGGCGTCCACCACTACGGAGGCAACCTGCCCCAACTGATATACACGCCCACTGCTGACGCAGCCAGCCGTTGCCGAGGCAACCCGCCCCAACTGAGATACACGCCCACTGCTGACGCAGCCAGCCGTTGCCGAGGCAACCCGCCCCAACTGAGATACACGCCCACTGCTGACGCAGCCAGCCGTTGCCGAGGCAACCCGTCCCTACTGAGAAACACGCCCACTGCTGACGCAGCCTGCCGTTGCTGAGGCAACACGCTACAACGAAGAGACTCCGCCGCAGGGCGTGGCGGAGACCACAGCAGAGCCGGCAGGAACAGCGCGAATCACACAACAGCAGGGCGGAGCCTCGGCAGCCAAACAGTGGCTAGTCTGCCTTTGAGCTGGGCAGGACACCTGATCGGACATCCAAAAATAAAGCCCAAACCCCTCAACACAGAGCATTTGAGAAAAAAAAAAGGGTTGTTTAATGAGCTGTGTTGCAGCAGAATCAAATATAGCAGCCTAACAGCCCTGAATGAACAACAGAGTGCACAGCTCAGCAATTAAACCCCTATAAAGTACAAACTGTCTCCTCAAGCAGCTCCCTGACCCCTCTATATCCAAAAGACTGTCATTAGGCAGGCATCATCCTGGGACAAAGAGAGCAGAAAAAGAAACTGGTAGCATCCCTCGCTGTGCCACGGCTACTAGAGGTGCACCCCAGACAAGCAGGGTCTGGAGCGGACCTCAACAGTCGTACAGCGAAGGGGCTAGACTGGTAGAAGGAAAACCAAGCAACAGAAATACTTCATCATCAACATTCTGGGTGTCCACTCAGAGACCCAAACGAAAAGTCAGCAACTACGCAGACGACCAGCGGACAAATCCACAAAGATGGGGAGAAACCAGCGCAAAAAGGAGGAAAACACCCGAAACCAGAACACATCGCCTCCTAGAAAGGAACAAGACTCCTCACCAGCAAGGGAACAAAGCTGGACGGAGAATGACTGTGACGAAATGACGAAATTAGACTTCAGAAGATGGATAATGAGAAACATTTGTGAGCTAAAAGATCATGTATTAAATCAATGCAAAGAAACTAAGAACCTTGAAAAAAGATTTGAAAAAAGATTCGAGGAAATGATAACAAGAATGGATACCTTAGAGAGGAATATGAATGAATTAAAGGAGCTGAAAAACACAATACGAGAACTTCGCGAAGCAAACGCAAGTTTCAATAGCCGAATTGACCAAGCAGAAGAAAGAATATCTGAAGTCGAAGACCAACTCAATGAAATAAAATGAGAAACCAAGATCAGAGAAAAAAGCGCAAAAAGGAATGAACAAAGTCTCCAAGAAATGTGGGACTATGTGAAAAGACCTACCCTACGTTTGATAGGTGTACCAGAAGGGGACGAAGAGAATGAATCCCAGCTGGAAAATACTCTTCAGGACATCATCCAGGAAAATTTCCCCCACCTAGCAAGACAAGCCAACACTCAATTGCAGGAAATACAGAGAACACCACAAAGATATTCCGCAAGAAGAGCAACCCCAAGGCACATAATCGTCAGATTCAACAGGGTTGAAATAAAGGAGAGAATACTAAGGGCAGCCAGAGAGAAAGGTCGGGTCACCCACAAAGGGAAGCCCATCAGACTCACAGCAGATCTCTCGGCAGAAACACTACAAGCCAGAAGAGAGTGGGGGCCAATATTCAACATTCTTAAAGAAAAGAACTTTCAACCCAGAATTTCATATCCAGCCAAACTGAGCTTCAGAAGTGAAGGAAGAATAAAATCCTTTGCGAACAAGCAAGTACTCAGAGATTTTGTCACCACCAGGCCTGCTTTACAAGAGCTCCTAAAAGAGGCACTACACATAGAAAGGATCAATCAGTACCAGCCATTCCAAAATCACACTGAATGCTAAAGAGCTTCAACATAATGAAGAATCTACAACAACTAACAGGCAAAACAGCCACTTAGAATCAAAATGGCAGTATCAAATTCACACATAACAATATTAACCCTAAATGTAAATGGACTAAATGCACCAATCAAAAGACACAGACTGGCAAATTGGATAAAAATCCAAAACCCATCAGTGTGCTGTATCCAGGAAACCCATCTCACATGCAAGGATACACAAAGGCTCAAAATAAAGGGATGGAGGAAGATTTACCAAGCTAATGGAAAGCAAAAAAAAGCAGGAGTTGCAATTCTCATCTCTGATAAAATAGACTTTAAAGCAACAAAGATCAAAAGAGACAAAGAAGGCCATTACATAATGGTAAAAGGATCGATACAACAAGAAGAGCTAACGATCCTAAACATATATGGACCCAACACAGGAGCACCCAGATACATAAGGCAAGTTCTTAATGACTTACAGAAGGACTTAGACTCCCACACAATAATAGTGGGAGACTTTAACACTCCACTGTCAATACTAGACAGATCAACCAGACAGAAAATCAACAAGGATACCCAGGGCTTGAACTCAGACCTGGAGCAAGCAAACCTGGTGGACATTTACAGAACTCTCCACCCCAAATCCACAGAATACACATTCTTCTCAGCACCACATCACACCTACTCTAAAATTGACCACATAATTGGAAGTAAAGCACTGCTCAACAAATGCAAAACAACT